AAATGAAGTTCTTAGCAATGCATATTACTAATCAAAAATTACGTTTTGATATATTTACGGTAGGAAATTTACAAAATATCTTCATGGAACATAATCTTTATTTAATATCCTAATGATTTTTGACATAAAAGAAAATTATTTTGACCCATACAATGTATTGTTGGCTATTGCTACAAATATACCCATGCTACTTATGACTGGTTTTGTGCTCCAGGGTCACATATGGTCCTTAAAAACTAACAAGAAGGTGGCTAGCCGCACACTGAATCCAATACAATCCAAGACTGAAAAGTCTACCAAAACATTTTTTATTTTATAAATTGCATCGTGCAAAAAGTGCAGTGCGTGAGAGTTAAAAGCGAATGGACACGAGCAATGCTTGATGCACACATCTACAACAGTGCAACCAATTCTAAGGAAAAGCACAGCTGTTAAACATCTATGGGACGCATCGAATGGGAGGACTATTATCGGGAAATGTGATAAAAGTGAGAGTGATGAATAAATGCATGCAGCTGCGGATGGGAGGTGAGCTTCTGTCGTTCATCTTTCACTCCTTATCACATTCCTTAACATACAAGATCACGTTTCACCAGTTCTTTAGGCTTCATTAACTTAAGCACATTCACATTTCTGATTCTCAGTGAGGTGCTGAGGTTTTCATTTTATAATCAAACAAATAACTAAAGATAAAGAGTGGATTGCAGCAATAACTGCATTAAATCACGGCTTTACAGTAAACCTACAGTAGATTAATTAGGGATTTAATTTGAACTTGCACCTGAAGAGGATTGAATTTCCAAAAAGCCAGCAATTTTTCAATGGATTCCCAAAGAATGAGAGATCAAATCTAATCACAGGTTAATTTTTTAATCACTAATTTGCTTTCACAATGTTTGTTTTCAACATATTTTGAAGTATGTTGGCAACCGAACAGTGGCTGGTCCCCACTGACTTCCATAATATGGAAAAAAAATAATAATATGGAAGTCAATGGAGACCAGAAACTGTTTGGTTACCAACATTCTTCAAAATATCTTCTTTTGTGTTCAACAGAAGACAGAAATTCGGTAAACACTTTAGGTTAGGGAACACATATTCACTATTAACTAAGAGTTTTCCCTCAATAAACCCCAAATTACTGCTTATTGATAGTAAGGTAGTTGTTGTAGTTGTTAAAAATAATATAATAATAATAAAAATAGTTGTTGTAGGTAGTTGTAGGTATAGGGTAACGTTAAGGGATCTGGGCATTAATATGTGCTTTATAAGTATTAATATGCTATTAATTTGCATGCTAATAAGCAACTAGTTAATAGTGAATAGTGTTTCCATAATCAAGCCAACATAACAAGTTTGGAACAACTTGAGGGTGATTAAATGATGACAGATTTTCATTTTTGGGTGAACTATCCCTTTAAGCAATACAATAACCTGAATTGAAATAAAACCTACAGCAAGAAACTAGATTAGCTCTAAATGCTCCTGAATTTAATTCACACCATAATCATAATTCGTGTTTATCAAGACAAAAGCGACCTGAATATTACTGTGTGCTCACCTCTGTTGAGGACGGCTTGTTCCCACAGGATCCTCTCCAGGTCTCTGGTCCAGTTCTCCTTCACTTCTCGACTCGGTGCCTGAAGGATGTACGTGTCCTGAGACTTCCTCCTTCGAAACCAGATCTCAAAACACAGCCCGCTGTCACCGAAATTATGGGTCATACCGATGTCTGAAGTCTGCGAGAGCACAGAAAGCAAAAGTGAAAGGAAAAGCCGTCTCTATTTTGAGCTGTTCACTGATGCCTCATGCAGGGGTTTACCTTGAAGGATTGTTTGTAGATGTACGTGTCATTCCCAACGTCGGTTCTGCGTGTCTTGCTGAAGAGTATGAGATCTTGGAAGAGAAAGATGTGACGGTAGCATTTCTTCTTCCTGAAGGTCAACAGGAACTCGTCCCGACGGACTAGCTGGCCCTGTTCCTTCAGATTCACCTGCACACACATGAACAAAATAACATTAAGGCATTTGGCAGATGCTTTTATATTAATCAACTGCTTTTGCATTCAAATTCTTTTTTCAGTGTCTTTTAACAACAATCAAAATTGTCATAAAGTTGGTAAAGAGAGACTTGCATTCACCTTCAAAACCTTTTATATCTATACTACTGGTCAAAAGTTTGGAATAATTACTTTTTTTTAGTTTTTTACGTTTTTAAAGGAAAAGGCTGCATTTATTTGATAAAAAATATAATAAAAACAGTAATATTGCTAAATATTATAACAGTTTAAAATACCTATTTCCTATGTGTGTAAATATTAAAATGTAATTTATTTCTGTGATCAAAGCTGAATTTTCATCATTCATTACTCCAGGCTTCAGTGTCACATGATCTTCAGAAATCATTCTAATATGCTGATTTGCTGCTCAAGACACATTTCTGATTATTATCAATGTTGAAAACAGTTGTGCTGCACAATATTTTTGTGGAAATGGTGACACACTACAATTCATAAGTTTGAGGTGTAAGTAAGATAAAAAAAAAAAAAAAGAATACTTTATTAATTACTGACACACTGAAAAAAAATTATACTAATTTATTTTAAGGTAAGTGGTTGCAAACAATTTATTTTAGCTACATTTAAATAAAAAAAAGTTGAAAGTCGGTCAACTAAATTTGTTTATTTAAATGTAGCTAAAATAAACTGATTGCAACCACTTACCTTAAAATAAATTAGTAAATTCAATGAATCATTTTTTTCAGTGCACATTAAATTGATCAAAAGTGACAGTAAATACGTTTATAATGAATATTTTTATTTCAAACAAATGCTGTTCTTTTGAACTTTCTATTCATCAAAGAATCCTGAAAAATCTCAGTTTATACAAAAATATTGGGCAGCACAACTGTTTTCAACATTGATAAAAATCAGAAATGTTTCTTGAGCAGCAAATCAGCATATTAGAATGATTTCTGAAGATCATGTGACACTGAAGACTGGAGTCAAATTCAGCTTTGATCATAGCAATCAATTACATTTGAACATATATTCAAATAAAAAAACTGTTATTTTAAATTGTAATGATATTTTACAACAATACTGTTTTTACTCTATTTTTTTGTTCAAATAAATGCAGCCTGGTTGAGCAGAAGAGACTTCATTCAAGAACGTTAAAAAATCGTATCTTTTCCAAACTTTTGACTTGTAGAGTATAACATTTTCTTAATATGCACAGTACTTTAAACACATCCATCATCAGCTCATCAGCTCTCATGTTGGGTTTTCAAGTGGAGATTGATGTGCAGTGGGATGAGAGGGAAGTGAAGCGTATGGGAGCTGCTTGGAAAAGTTACCTGAGACACAAATCATTTTCACCGAGAGGAGAGGACAGAACCGAGAGTGATCCTGAAGAACCGCAGTGAATGTGTCATAGATAAGATGAAGAGCATGTCTAAACCTAAGATAACATTAGAGTACAGTAACTCCACTGTCTCAGCACACAGGTGGAGGGAGTGTACGAGTTAGTTCACTGTTCTTTTTTAAAGCTTGCTGTCTGAAAATAAATGCATGAAATATGAAGGTATTTATCTTTCTAATTACAGACGGTATGTGAAGTGGGCAAAACTCACCTCCATCTCACGCCTGACCATCCTGTTTCTATAAAAATATCTCTATTTCAGTCTGCATTTAGTTTGCAGACAAATATGTTTTGCCTTATTATGCAAAACAACACATATCATAGATTTATAAGCAAGCAGGTAAACAGTACAAACTTAAGTAAACACAACATTTTCTGAAGAAATGATGGTGATGATTGCCTGTGCAAGTTGATGGGTGCTGCTATGGTATTCCTAAGGTGTGTTTAGTGGATTTTAGTGTTGCTATGCAGTTGCTAGGGTCTTTTTGTTTTACTGGCCAAAAGGATCGACCCTTAAATCTGTGTGACTTTCTGTTCTCTAGATATGAGTCAGGTCCCTCCTTCAACGTAAGTTCAATGTATTTCATGATCATTCACCAGGTAAAAATCACGAGTCTGTTCTGTAGCAGCTCCGCTTCTCAGCATTTTACACACTGAAGTTTAAAACATCATCTCAAATCACTAACCCTCAGTATGTGCAATAATGACGCTTGCCATGACATGCTTTTCTAAATTACAGGGTTGAAGAAGAAATGTGCCTAGTTCTGTAAACTAAAATGGAATTGGGGTTTTCTGAGATGTTGTAATCTCTCTATCACTCCAGTGTCATTTTAGTATTATGAATATACTATTAACAATTTTTTGTTACATTTTTATATGTATTTTCAGATTTCATTTTAATTTGAGTTTTAGTAATTTTATCCTTTTTACTATTATTTTTAATTATCTCTATTTAACTATCATTTATGAAGCTCAATTTATTTTATTAATAAATTAGTATTTTAAAGTATTTTTAAACTAGTTTAATATTTTAAAATTAGTAACTTAAAAATGAGTAATTTTAGTACTTCAACATATTTATTTTAGTTGGTTGCCAAGGCAACGTTTCAAGTATTTAAGTTGAATTAAGTTTAATATTGTTTAATCCAATATTTATATTTTAATTTATTTCACCTTAAATTTAAATTCAACTTAAAATTACCAAAAACAATAGTTTGGATATACTAAAAATAGTAATTTAGATTATTTTACTAGAATTATTAAACTCATTTAGAACAAAAGCATCAGAAATATTACACTCAAAAAAAAACTATAAACTGATTCTTCAGGAATGTAAAGATTAATAGTCTCATGAATAATTGTCCAAAGAGGAAATTTTATGTATCATCTTGTTTGTTTCTTAAATGCATGAGTTAGATTTAAAAAACACATTCAGTCGTTAAAAGTATTTTTAAATTAGTTTAGTATTTTAAAATTAGTAATTTTAGAACTTCAAAATTTGTATTGTTTAGTTGCCAAAGAAACATTTCTTTTTTTAAATTTTTTAAATCTAATATTTATATTTGACTTTATTTCAGCTTTATTTTTAAGTACCCACAATGTGAATAGTTTTATTTAGCGATGAGGCTCACATCACAGTCCTGAAGGTCGTCCATGGCGAGCAGGTTGTTGCCGTGGCGGAGCTGGAACTGGATGATGTTCAGCGCGGTCTGTATCTCGAGCCGCTCGTGTCCCGCGTGCGCTCCGGTCTCACACTCACGCAGCATGTCCTGCAGCAGCAGCCCGTATTTACTGATGCGCTGCACCGGCTTCAGCAGATACGAGGACAGATCCATCTTATCACCCAGCAGCTGCTGCTTCTGCTGCAATTCACATGATTGAACTAAAATTACTAAACAAGCACGGCACATTTTTACATTTATGTTTATTTGTAAGCAATATTCATTATTCCCAATGCTGGATGCAGTTTTTATTTTTTATTTAAAGTATTACGTAATAAATTTACATATTTAAATTATGTGTAAATACATAGCAATTTAAATAATACATCTTTTTTCTTTTTTTCCCTCTAATACGCATTATTCCCAATAGTAGATACTGTTGTTTTTCATTTATAGCAGCACAAATATAAAAACACACTACAATGTCATATAAGTACCTTGCAATTTAAATATATACAATAATAAATATATATTTTTTGCATTACAGTTATGAAAATTAGATTTTTGGCATTCATTTCACAAAAATGTTCTTACATGTCATGAAAATGTAGTAATGTTGTCATTTTATTCGTTTTTTTATTATGTCTATATTTATTTGTAAGTCGCTTTGGATAAAAGCGTCTACTAAATGACTAAAAGTAAAAGTAAAGTAAAGTAAAAGTAAAATAATGCAAAAAAATGCAGTGCAAACAAATAGTAATGTTCCTAAAATGATGATATCCTAAAAATGACAAATATCTAGGCTTAATTTTCTTTCTGCCTTATTCATGTCTTACTTATAATTGTGGGGTGAAATGTGACCTGCTTTTGCTTTTGAGTTGCATGGTTCTTTCATTATAAGTGTATTCATTTTCTAAGATCTGTAAAGCTGCATTAATGGGTGTCTATGAAATAAAAAGTTCTTTGTGGCGCTTTAAGTGGCTTTCTCTGGTATCAGGCTGTAAAACTCTGGAAACTGTGAGTGTGTCCTGCTCGGAGCACTCACGTGTTTCAGGAAGCAGCGTCCGACGCAGAAGGGCTCCTTCAGACACAGCTCCAGCTCCTGAAGGAAGTGATGCTGGTGAAAGTCTCGCAGCTTCTCCAGGTTCCCAAAGATGCATCCTCTATGTCCCCGCAGGTCCTGAGGCACGTCGGGACGCTCCAGCTCCAGCATGTAGTTCTCCACCACGTACCCCAGCGCTCTCACATACTCTCTCTCCGTCTGAAGCAGCTCCTCCATGATGCACTGGAGTTTACTGTCAGGAGACCAACAAAAACATAATGCATCCCGCAACGATCCCTGTTCTCTTCTACAACACTGACATTATGAACAAGTACTAAGGCATAGCAGACAAACAGATCAATGGTAAACATTTCACATTTTACTGGCAGGGCACATTTGTATAATTCAGTTTAAGACATGTTACTTTCCTGCCCTGAAATATGACATATCATCACATTTACCCAGAAGCATATGTCTAATATACTAAAATATGGTTTTTAGTGAAAAACTAAACTAATGTAATAAAGCATGTACATGCTTTAATGCAATAAACGTGGTGGGCGAGTATGATTTTGTCATTGTGTACGTCATTACGGTAATGGTATACATCACATATATAGTTTTGTGATGGAAATAATATTATAATAAAACTATTTTAATATTGTTTTATCGTAATATTTCAACTGAATTCATAATGGAAACTATATTTTGGATAATATCCTATTAAAATGGTATTAAATATATTTTTATTATAATATAACAATTATAATGTACCATTATAATTATTTCATTTTATTTATATTAAAACTACTAAATCATCATGTGGTAATGATGGTTTAATTTGGAATGAAAACTATATTTTTGGATAATGTTTCATTTAAAAATACTGTTTTATCATAAAATTAAAGCTATTTTATTTTAACAAATTGTAAACTACATTAAATAGTCATGTGGTAATGATTATTTTATTTTCAATTTACAATGGAAAACAAATGTTGGATATTATAAAACAATTTTATTAAATAATATTTTATTATAATAATAAAATTGTTTTATTTTAATAATATTAATACTACATAAAATAATTATTTGCTATTATTGCAATATTTTGAAATGGAAACTATACATTTTGGATAAAAATTAAAGGTGCTTCATCTGATTTCCCTTTAATTTGGAACCTGATGTGTGCAAACCAAAAGATCCGATTATTAATAGATGAACGTGTCTAGCTCTGTATCTTCACTTTACGATTCTTCATCCGTCTGATTAAAACAGTGACTCACAGTACAGTGCTGCTGTGATCCAGCATGCGCTCGTCCTGCGTTTGGACTGGAAGATCTGAGCGTGTCGCTGGTGAAATCAAGCTCTGCTCGTCAGATTTGGTGTCACTGCTGAACTTCTCATTGACGTCGCTTTGGCTCAGTCCAGAAGCGCTGGAACAGAAGCTGTCCTGGTGAGACAGTTTAGAGCTCTGTCCATCCCATGAAGCTCTGCTTGAGTCGCTCTCTTGACCGGAAGCTGCACACATCTGGACTTTGTGCTTGACTGCAGTTTTGCAAACAGAAACATGATAGTTGGTGATTGGCAGACAAGAGCCTTCGCTTCGAGAGCGGACCAGGGCTGTATAATGTGGCGAGTGGTTGACCTCAGTGACCCGGTCTGACTTTCTCAGATCACTGTCGCTGTGAGAGTATATGCGAAGACACGTCCTTAATTGCGTCGTCGGTCCATTGTGTGATGTGAAAACTTTGCTTCTGCTTTGGTGGAAATGTTGACCTCTTCCTTCCTCTTTTGGCTGTTGAAGATTCAGTTCCTTCTGCGTGTTTTGGGTCATTATCGGGTCAGAGTTTGAAGACGGTGATGTTTCTCTCGTCACAGGCTCACAGTGAAGGTGGAAATGCGTCACTGTCTCATTATCACCTTGTCCAACAAGACTATTTCGAGTCTCAGTACGACCGCCAGCAGGGTTTGTTTGTTCATTTTCTCCAAGGCTAGTTGTAATTACGCTCAGGGTCGGCCCTTTCAAGCGGGCCGCCGCGCTGTCCTTTTGTGGCGATCCCAGAGGCGTTTGATTTCTATAAGAGGCCTGCAGTATCTCAGTGAGCCGCTGTCTGATGTCTCGGCATTGAGCCCAGACCGCATTCCACATCCATATCCCATCCGGGTGCCTCTCCAGCAGCGCCGAGCTCTTGTCCTGAAAGTGCTGGGGCGAGAAGTCTTTGAAACGCTCCTCAAAAGCCTTCAGTGTGCTCAAGCAGACACACACGGGAGAGTTTGTGCTCTGTATGTGTTCTAAATACTCCATACACTCTTTGACAAGAGATGAGGCCTGGAAAACAGAGAAGATGAAAGTCATTTCAGGCCATTAAATAGTGTTTGTGTGTTTATAACTTATACATTAAAAATAATATTATTTTATTAGTTTCTTAAGATTTTTAATGTTTTTAAAAGAAGTCTCTTTTGCTCATTAAAGTGTGCTCAAGCAGACACACACGGGAGAGTTTGTGCTCTGTATGTGTTCTAAATACTCCATACACTCTTTGACAAGAGATGAGGCCTGGAAAACAGAGAAGATGAAAGTCATTTCAGGCCATTAAATAGTGTTTGTGTGTTTATAACTTATACATTAAAAACAATATTATTTTATTAGTTTCTTAAGATTTTTTATGTTTTTAAAAGAAGTCTCTTTTGCTCATTAAAGCTGCATTTATTCGATTAAAAATACAGTAAAATCAGTAATATTGTGAAAAATTATTACAATTTAAAATAACTGTTTTCTATTTGAATATATTATAAAATGTAATTTATTCCTGTGATCAAAGCTGAATTTTCAGTAGCCATCAATTCCGCTTTGAATCACAGGAATAAATTACATTTTAAAATATATTCAAATAGAAAACAATTATTTTAAATGGAAAGAACATTTAACAAATTTATTGTTATTATTCCAAACTTTTTGCAGTAGTGTATATTAATTTATTTGTAATGGAATTTATTTAGACTATATTCAATAATTAGAAGTTGGTATGAGACATGTCTGCTCTGTATCTTCAGATTATGATTTTGTCATTCACACATGTAAATAATGTAAGCTGTCCTTTCCATCTAACCAACTGTGATGGCGTTTTTTTTATATATTTTTTTTACTCTGATTGATTAAACTATTACTTTCACTATATAAAGTCAACATGAAGTTAAAATTGATCCAATGTACTTTCTTAATACACTTTTTTTTGTCCCAGGGACCACAGTTGTTTACTAATAATTTGTAATGACCTTTCCAATTAGCTTTCAAGTTGTTTGTGATAATTACACAAGGATTTATGTAAAATGATATCTCGAAATAATTTGGATTCTGACTGACTCATCGTTCATTCATCATCAATCATTTATGAGTACTTTTGACTAATTCACTGAAAATAATTAATTTGCTAATCAAAAATCACTAGGGTTTGCAAGCATGTTTTATTTTACCCAAGAGCAATATCATACCAATTACATATTATTGCTCTGCACAATTCGAAATGTGTTCATCAACTACAAATTCCATTAATTTTAAGATTTTTCATATTTTTTAAGGCCTGGAGAACATAGTTTAAAATTCTATGGGGAGCCTTGCTAATTACTCCAATAGATTGTTTTCAGTCTTTCAGTAATTCACTCTTGCAGAATACCTTGTTTCACAAATAAATACATTGCAGAAGTAAAACGGCTTGCAAATGTTTCACGTTGACTTGAATAGGGCAGTTAATTGTCCGTGTTTGTTGACGAACCTCTTCACAGAAACGATAGAGATCGACAGACGTCTCCAGCTCAGATTTACGCTCCTCAGCTTTCAAGAGAAACCCGGTCACGTTGGTTTTGAAAGTGGTGGCTTTACAACCAAAAGCCTTGGTTTCAGGGTAATATATTCCTTTGCTTTTCCTCTCCACTTCCTTTATCAACAACATCCCTTTTTCTTTTTTCTCCTAGAAAAAAAATAACATGCACAAATTATGCAATACCTCAACGACGTCTGAAATTTCATAAATCTTCATTACTTATCATTATGTAAGACTGCACATTCTCGTACCATTTTCATTATCTCTGGAATTTGATTACTTTTCAATTAATTCAAACTCAGCAGTTCACATAAATCTCTAATCCACAATCTAACTAGTCTGATAAGATTCAGGCATTCATCTAGTCTGTATATTTGAGTAAATGTCAAGGATTTGTTACCTTTGCTCGTATAAGAACAGACTGAACATCTTGTAGTCTCTGCTCTATTTTCAGCAGAGTTTTCTCTGTGTCATCTTTGTCTTTCTGCCATGACTGCTCCTCTGCATCACACCATTTTTGGATCTGTGAACAACATAAACAACAATGAATTATACACAAGAATCAAAAGAGCTGAATTTATGGTATTTATTGACTCCAATCTACTGCTGACTCCACCAGACCTCTTTAAAGACATCTGTGCTACAATGATGATTTGACTCATCCCTTAGTTTACATAAAATTATAACACTTTACAGTAAAGCTCCATTTCTTAACATTATCGACAGTTCACAGTTCAATAATGCAGTGATTCCTCCAGTGAAAAGTTCAATCTCCTGTTGTCTCACATCTCAAAATCCACATATTTGTCTTTTTTTAGAACTGTTTTGGCTTGTAAATGGTGCTTGATCCGTGCATATTTCTCTCCTGATTCAGACCAGACAACTTTTTCACTGAATAAAGCAATATCCAAGCAATTATTATGAATTATGGACTCGTATTTTAGACAGAAGCAATGGTTTGGAATAGTTTGAAGCTTTTGGCTTCACAAGACATTAACTGATGGACTGGACTGGTGTGGATTACTTGTGGATTATTGTGATGTTTTTATCAGCTGTTTGGACTCTCATTCTGACGGCACCCATTCACTGCAGAGCATCAGTTGCTGAGCAATTGATGTAATTTCTCCAAATCTGATGTAGAAACAAACTCATCTACATCTTGGATGGCCTGAGGGTGAGCACATTTTCAGCAAATTTTCATTTTTGGGTGAAATATTCCTTTAATGTATGAACTAATGTTAACAAATGAGACCCTATTATAAAGTGTTACAAATAAATGACAAATTCATGGTTACTGAATGGGACTATGCACTTTGAGAGTTTAAAAGCACAAATATGAAGCTTGTATTTTTGTTAAAGCACTAACATGAATTATTCATCTAGTTAATACACAGTATCTAGTTAAGCATAGTAGATCATGCCACAGTTACCATATTTCCCATCTTTACATGGTCATCATGGTTGGATATATAACATAATTTTAAGTTCTACTGATATACGTTTAAATGGTGCAATTTAACATTTAGTGCCTATTTTCATTATACTGTATGTGCCTTTCCAATGTTTTGTAACTTAGAGCCACTCTGTGGTTATTTGTGCTACAAATGCAGTCGCACCACAACATTTCTTCATAACCTGCTTACAACAGAATATCTATCTACCAGCAAGAGCAGCATTAAACCAGCCTGCATTTTTAGTGTTGGTCTTTTCAGACTTTTCTCAAAACATTCTCTTCCAACAGCTGAGAAATTATGATCACTTTATTTAGCACGGTGATGTTATGTTTCACTATGAAGGTTGAGACTGTCTGCCCGTCGAACACTGGCTGATTATTCCCTGCGGCACAATGTTTGTCTTGTGTTATTTTCAGCGCTGAAGCACTTTCTGTGGGCTGCGCTTATTATCTGTCATGACGGGATGTAATGCATACTGTGCTGAGCGAGTCTTCTGCTTCTCTCAACCGAAGAACATGTTCGAGATGTTGCAGTGACTGGTTAGATTTCATCACTAGCGTGTGAACGGCCTCTTCCATCTGGTTATACAGACACGTCACAGACTCCAGAGAGTCCCTGCAGGAGACAGAAAAGACACATAGAAGTGTTATGTGCTCTCAGCACCTGCACAAAACATGCAAATATACTGTAAATGGAATATGTTTTGTAGTTTTTAATTCATTTATTGTAAATATTGAGTACTACAGGCTAGTGAAAATCTACAATTTCTCTACATACTGGTCATACTTTTCCAATTTGTGTTTCATATTATATATGGGTTCTCCAGTGAAGCTCACTGTATGTCTAAAGGCTCTTGCTGTTGGGAAAATAGGATTAACTGGGACCCAGCAGCTGTCCAAACATCATGGGCGCAGCTGAGCTCTGATCAAACGTGACTAAACCGAGCCTGCTGTGATTCAAACATACTGAGAGAAATACCTGAAGTCTTCAGACTGAGCAAATCGAGACTCTTCCTTCCTCATCCTGGCGAGAATAGACCCGCCTTCTCTTTGGAGGGCGACCAATCGTGTGTCTTCAAGCACCATCTTCATGGAACTCCTCTGCTCCTGGATGCAGGACTGGACATCCTGAACAATTGCCAATTGATTTAGTTAGTTTGGGAGCAGAATTCCTCAGCATGGTCAAATTAAATAAATGTGACCCTGGACCACAAAACCAGTCATAAGGGTCAATTTTTTTGACATTGAGATTTATACATCATCTGAAAGCTGAATAAATACGCTTTCCATTGATGCATGGGTTGTTAGGATAGGACAGTGTTTGGCCGAGATACAACTATTTGAAAATCTGGAATCTGAGGGTGCAAAAAAATCAAAATACTGAGAAAATCGCCTTTAAAGTTGTCCAAATGAAGTTCTTAGCAATGCATATTACAAGTTTTAATATATTTACAGTAGGAAAATTACAAAATATCTTCATGGAACATGATCTTTACTTAATATCCTAATGATTTTTGGCATAAAAGAAAAATCAATAATTTTGACCCATACAATGTATTTTTGGCTTAAGACTGCTTTTGTGCTCCAGGGTCACAAATGAGCTTTTTTTAAATTTTGCATTTGTTTAAAATGAAGTTTTCAATTTGTGAAATTTCTAAATAAATAAATAAATATTAATAATAAATATTATTATTATTATTATTATGAGCAGAAATTGAGTGAAAATGTGAGAAATCTTTTTTTGCTACTACCTGCATTTATGTTCATTTTATGTCACAAAATTCGGTAATCGTATATTGAATATATCTGGTTGTTTCACACTACAAAAACAATGTCAATGTGCCTTTAAATAGGGATAATATAACTGTACTATAACAATTTATTTTAGAGATTTTTTTATTTACTGATATTGGTATTGATATTTATTGATATTGATAATTTATTGTTATTGATATTTAATTTATTGATATTTCATTTTGCATGTTAATTTCACCTATTTTCCACATTTACAGTCACCTAACACTCACTTAAAGGTAATTTTAAAAAACACTAATAACTTAACACTGTTAAACATAATCTTCCTTTTTCATACTGTACATTATTACATTTGATTCTTATATTCATTTGTAGCAATTAAAATGATTGATTGCAGTGTTTGATTTAGACAAAATTGCATCGAATTTTAATATCAGACATTTCTCCGTTTTTTGACATAATACGAAAATAGTTACTGGCTTATTGTATCGGTTCAAATGTAAATATCAGTGCATCTCTAGCTGTTATGTTAAAAAATGTGATACGAATGTGTACTGTATTCCTGGAAATTTTCAGAAATTAGCATGCAGAATCTAAAGTTACCTTTGCGGTATCAGTTTTTTTAACATCAAGTCTCCTGATTGCTGTCTGCAGTAATGATGATGCTGCTTGTAGGTCGAGTCGAAAGAGAGAAAGTTTCTGAAAGACACGTGCAAAACACATGTTAGATAATCATCTACATATTGTGAAAGAAGGGCATCTGCTGATTATTCAGCTATTTGCTCGACAAAACATTTACAAGCACAACCCTAAAGCATGTGACCAGCAGAAGACAGCTGAAGGTAGCTGCTAGTCATCAAGATGAAATTTTGTTTATAATCAATTCACATAAGATTAGGAAAAGTCAGGTTGTTACACATGTAAGTTAAAGAGCCATTGGGCTCTCAGGCCTCAAATAGACAAAACACAGAAAAAATATAAAGAGCCATTTGCTGTTGTCAGAAATGTTGTGATCCACTTCACTAGAGCTGTTTGTGCAGGTTGACTTGCGTCCGTTTACAAGTGTTTTAACAGTTGCTGACTGAACTGATTACACAATAACATGTTCTTACTACAGAAACAAATAAAAATGTTTAATGAGTAAGTGGTATGACAACATCACTGACTGCAAATGTGCTGTTATTTGTTGCATCATTTATATTGCGGGCCTTTGCCACATTACTTATAGTAGAGAGAGAGAGAGAGGACAGGAAACTGACTGAGGCAAGCAGGACTCAAAGCATCAGTGCATGCGCATTAACCACAGCACTGATGCAAAACAAAAAGTGTTTTTAATCACTGAAATGTCCAGCTGCACTCCCACTGGAACACCTCCAAGTTGCAAGAAGTGCAAATACTGATAAAACAAAACATGATGGCCGAAATTCTAAATTTTCTATTTGTCTGGATCTACAAATTTTACATTAAGACTGTCAGTATTCACTGAAAAGGTAAAGATATCAGTCAGAAGGCAGCATTACTGGGTGTTTTTGTGATTGCTCTTCTCCTACCTGGTGAAACTGTAGCCAGTCTTCATGACTGTAAGGGAAGGATCCGCCAAGGTCAGAGGTCAACTGCTGTCCATCAACTGTCTTATGGAGAGCTTTTAGTGACGTCACAACATCTATCTGAAAGAAAAGATCATGTACTTTAACATACTGTACTGCACGTGTGTGAGACCCAAGCATGAGTAAAACATTTTTAATGTTTTTGAGAAAAGTCTCTTCTGCTCACCAGGGCTGCATTCATTTGAACAAAAATACAGTCAAAACAGTAATATTGTGAAATATAATTACAATTTAAAATATTAGAATTTTATATTCGAATATATTTTAAAATGTAATGTATACCCTGCTGAATTTTCAGTATCGTTACATGATCCTTCAGAAATCATTCTAATATGCTGATTTTCTGCTCAAGAAACAGTCATGTTGAAAACAGTCATGCTGATTAATATTTTTGTGGAAACCGTGATACATTTTATGTTTTAGGATTCTTTGATGAATAGAAAGAACAAAAGAACAGCATTTATTTGAAACAGAATCTGTTTGTAACATTTTAAATGTTTTTACTGTCAATTTTGATTAATTTAATGCATCCTTCCTGAATTAAAAAAATAACTGCTTTAAAAAAAAAAACATGTGAAAGCAGCTATAAAATGCCAAAGGAGTTCAACATCTGCGTATAGTAACATGTACTGTATATCAGCCTACAAACCCCAGATCAACACCCAGAGCTGAAGGCATGTATATCTGAACTCAGAGAGAGCAGACATTCTAGGAGTTAATTAAACGGTTGCAGGTTTCCACGAAGGCGTAATTGCAGGGCACAACGAGTGTGTTTGGGGGTGTTAATTACCTGTAGACCAGGTTGTTTTTCCGGTCGAGGATTTGCGTCTTTATCAACAAGCATCAAGATAGTGTGCACTGCATGAAGGGCCTGCTCCTGTATAACACACACATTCAACAGACACATAGGTTGCTGTGTGAAACATGCAGAAAGAGTAGCTGCAGTTGCACTCTTGACTGCCACCTACTAGACAACTTCATTTCTAGATTGTGTGCATAAAGGATGTGTTCAGATGTTGATGCTGGAAGTTGGTGGTGATGATTGTTTTCTGGGCAGATCCTCACCTGAACCATGAGCAGGGATTTGTAGAACACAGAGGGCAGAGGGCACTTCCTGCTGTCAATCACTACGGTCAGTCCCAGTTCTCTGACCTCCATCCTGTAAAAACATACATCTTCTTTTACATCAGTAAGTAAAGCCATATTTGGTATAGCATATTACATTTGTGCAGCTTCCAGGAGAATGAAAAAACCATCAATATTGTCAAAACAACAGCCATCAAAACAAATTTTAATTCTAAATTCAAAGTGTGCAGCAACATTTGAATCTATTCTTAAAGCATGTGGATTTATCAGTGCTTGTTAATATGGCAATTCTAGATATAATGTCAACTCAGTGACAGTGAGGAAACATAAATAGCTATATATACTGTAATATATACAATGTAGCTTTATAAAATATAAGGAATAATCGTCCCGAACATACTTTTGGGGTTTATTTTGGGATAATAACTGGCTGATTGTAGGTTATTCCCCTTATTAAAGCTACTCACCAGTCACCAAATAAATAAGTACGTCGATATGAAATATTGATTATTAGCTATGTATTATTATTATTAAGGAAAATAAGAAAAAAACTCCATCATAATGTACTGTACAAAACAATTGTCTTGCACTTGTTGCGTTTGTTTGAAACGAAAGCGCGAGAGAAAGTAGTGCCGGTTTCTTTTACCTGGATGAACGGAAGCGTTGTTACGGACGTCGGAGTAACTAATTAAACATTACACAGATGATAATGTAATTTAATTTTTTCCCGTTAGCTCCGTCATCTTGGTTCTAGAATTAAAATTAATAAATATATAGCCTATGATATATATTTCTTAATTCAAATTCTACTCAGATTTTGAATTAAGAAATAGGCCTACATTTTAGGCACAAACATGCCTGATAGGCTAATGAGGCCGTTTCACATCGCTCTGTATTTGGACTGCTACTCCATGTCTTTTACTGCCCTCTTGTGGTGATTGAGCAGATTGGTCTCGGTTTGGTACCTGGGAATGGAGTGCAGGTAGAGCAACAGTCTGCAGAACTCATGAGGAGAAAGTTGAGAGGACGCCCAGCCTTTCCTGCCCCCGTAGACCTCAACCACAGCCCGGCCAGCTCTGTCACGACCGCCTGGTGTTGGTAAGAGAACATACAGTATTGAGTTAAAACAACACGATTTAACAGAATGACCATATTTTCTGTGCATGTGTGCAATAGCTTTGGCATTTTAGCAACTAACATGACAGCATTTGAGAGCAAAAGCAAATAAATCACTATTGTCTGAAGAACGCTCAGAAAAAGTTGTGTATTTTCTGTATTTGGATTGCACGTGGCTGCATGCTAACCGCTACATTATAGAGGCTTGTCAAAACTGTCAGGCCTCAAAAACTGTCCAGAGGAGAGTCAGAACGTTTCCTGTTTACTGCCATCAGAATTTACATTTGATGCATTTAGCTTTATCTAGAGTGGAATGTGCAACATGTGCATGTAGAAAGTTAGAAGCAAGTAGTCATTTAGAAGGTAATTTTGGCAAAAGTAACTTAGATATAGGTTCACACCGCCGGAAGCAATCTGGGTGTTACTCGCATAATAATGAAATATAATTATTTTGGTCTTTTTTGTGATCATGATATGTTGCAATGTTGTATGAAAAAGAAATTAAATAAAAAACTTCATATTTGCTCACCATTTCCCTGGTCAAAGTAAAAAACTAATTTATAGGTTGTGTGTTACTGTATATTACATTACAAGTCATAAAATATTTTTCTTATGTGACATCATGTCTTATGTGAGAGCCGACTTAAATTCAGTTATTAGTCACTGATGACTCTACTTGTATGGAATTAAAGGGTTAGTTCACCCAAAAATGACAATTCTGTCATTAATTACTCACCCTCGTGTTGTTCGAAACCCGTAAGACCTTCGTTCATCTTCGGAACACAATTTAAGATATTTTTGATAAAATCTGAGGGCTCTCTGACCCTTCCATAGACAGCAAGTTACCTACCATGTTGAAGGTCCAGAAAAGTACCAAGATGATCGACAAAGTAGTCCGTGTGACATCAGTGGTTCAACTGTAAAGTTATGAAGCTACGAGAATACTTTTTTGCGCAAAGAAAACAAAAATAATGTCTCTACTGCGTCATTTGTGGATCGCGTTCACGGCAGTACCATGACGCAAGCGTGTGGCGGCACTGACCCAGATCCGGCGTAATGACGTCATCACGCTGGATCTGGGTCAGCGCCGCCACATGCTCGCGTCATGGTACTGTCATGGATGCGATCCACAAGTGACGCAGAAAAATCGTTGTTTTCTTTTCGCAAAAAAGTAACGACTTTATTCTGCATTTTCATCTCTTTTCGCCGCCACACGCTCGCGTCATGATACTGTCATGAATGAAAATGTGGAATAAAGTCGTTATTTTTGTTTTCTTTGCGCAAAAAAGTATTCTCTTAGGTTCGTAACTTTACAGTTGAACCACTGATGTCACACGGGACTACTTTGTCGTTCATCTTGGTATTTTTCTGGACCTTGAACGTGGTAGTTACCTTGCTGTCTATGGGAGGGTCAGAGAGCCCTCAGATTTAATCAAAAATATCTTAAATTGTGTTCCGAAGATGAACGAAGGTCTTACGGGTTTCGAACAACACAAGGGTGAGTAATTAATGACAGAATTTTCATTTTTGGCTGAACTAATCCTTTAATCAATGGTTCTACTACTTTTGGTTCTCTTGTATCTGTTTTTCAAACAAATGTACTGTATCATGTGTCATCAAAAGATGTATGGACTGTTTTTATTTTATTTTTGTTGATGAAACAGAGTAAATGTGACAATTTGATTTTTTGAGTGAACAATTCTTGCTCAAGGGAACAGTTGTTTATATATTAGTCTTTGCCCAGTCCTAGCCCTGAACTTTAAACACACCACCACACATAAATTCACACTTAAAAATTGATTAGGAAGCATACCCGGTAAACAGATGATGCCTAGCTGGAGAAGGCTTTTGATTGTGGGGTCCTGGGAAAATAAAGTTGCCTGAACTCCATTCTCAGGCTGGCCAGTCAAGAGCTGATCAGCGTCTGATTTCTGGAGCTCTACTCCATTAACAGCTGGAGTTCCAGCCTTTCCAGATGAGTAGACTTCTTCAAAAGATGGGAAATTACATTTATTTTCAACATTGGTAAATATGCCAACACAAAAGATGGTGATTAAAAAACGAATTCTACTTTTTCTGAACTTATTGCTTGAGTGAAAAGATGTGTGCCACAGCTAGATGGAGCTGTTGATCTCTCCTTTAAAATTTTTTTGGGAAAAAATGACTTCACTAAATCCATCACCCTCCTCTTCCCATTTACAAAGACATCTAGCAGCTTCCCCATAAAACTGGGGGATGTAGTTATTTCTGTTCCCTGCTCTTTGCTCTTCTTGGTCCTCATGAATGCTTTCATTCTGTTCTGCTAAAGAAAGAAATCAGATGAAGGACTGCAGAAATTCCCCTGTGGAACGCTGTGCACGATCCTGACCTTTGGCCAGTGTCACATTGCACTCTTTTAAGATGACCTTTCAGAAGGGTATATTTTCTCCTCAGCAATTGACCAGGGTCAAGGTTGTCTGTAAATCAGTTGATATGTCATGGCGGGTGGCAACTAGACGTGGCCTCATAGTAGTTTCATTTTTGTACAAGCAACTGTTCATATCAGTCATGTTTGAACATGCTTTTCATTTAAGGATAAAGATCTAAAAAACAGCATGCTGGCCAGACGTCATGTTGCTTTAGATGTTCATTTGACATCAAAGTGAGATGTGGGGTAAAATCTGTATGCAATTAGTTGACACACACAGCAAGGAACCACAGAAAATAATTGTTAGACTATTTCTTTGTATTTGCTTCTTCTAAATGCCTGTAACAAATCAGAAGCACAAGTCTCTTTTACATGCAGAGGTCAAACTCAACTTACCCTTTCTTGCTTCTTGTCGTCTGTTTAATTTTGGGGACACCAAATTAGCTGTGTGTTTTATTCCCTGGATAGCAGGCAACATGGGAATGATTTCTGGATAGACATCACTGCGGCTTCTGTTGGTTGGCTTGTGCGATTGCAGACACTCTTTGGTTGTTTCCGAGACTGAAGAGGATGAGCGGGATTTAGACCTGCTTTTAACTTTGATCACCTGTACAGGTGAACCTGAGCCTCTTCCACTGTGTCTGTCATCACAGAAGACTTTGTAATCCAAAGGCCTGTTCTCATTTTGGAACAGGATCTGACTGAACTGGGGCTCAAATAGAGGAGGTGTTTGTCTGGAGGCCTGTGTTAGCTGAATTGGATTGAAACCCTGCAAACATAGATTAGCATCTTGTCTGTGACCACTGTGGTCAGGTAAAGCCCTGAGTCCCATTTTGGGTAAGTGTTGGGCTTTGGCGTGTTTCTGGCCGCTAGTCCGCATTTGAAATGAATCTTGTCTAAAAGAGTTGTTAAGACAGTGCTGCCTTTTGTTGGGTAGTGCCTTAGTTCCTAGTACAGTCTGATGAAGATCCTGTTGCCCAGTGAGGAATGACTTGTGTTGTTGTCTTGCTTGGACCATGCTAAGGAGCTGTTGGGTCATATGTTGGTCAGAAGACTCCGCATTCTCCCTTGAACTACAGTCATGAGGTATGCTCTGACTTGAGTTCTTTGGGCTTTGCTTTTGTTGGACTGAGTTCTCAAAGGATTGCATCGGGTTTCTGTCTGCTTGGTTTGGTGTCTGGCCAAATGTACAACTCAAAGGTTTAAGTCTAAGGCCAACTCTGTATCCTTCACAGCTTGGCTCAACCTCCCCTACATCTGTCCTTGTTTCATCTAGGGAACGTAGCATACTTGTTCTCTCAAAATTCACAGGGTTTCGGAGAGCTGCCATGTAAGACTGCCGATACCTGCATTTGGATTCTGGATCGTTTTGCATGCTCTCAGGTGGTTTGTTTTGCATACAAGGATTGCAGTCCTCTTCACACATGTTAACATTACTTTTTGGGGCAGGTTGAGTTGTCCTGACTAACTTGAAGCCCAGTGGTTTTGTGGGCATTGCTATTTTGTTGAGGACCAAAGTCTCTTTCTCCTGGCTGAACTCTAAAAGATCCACATATTCTCCTTCCAGCTCTCGGTTGTGCCTGCTGTCCCAGGTATTAGGAGATACCCAGCCAACAGGTTTTCCAGCAAAACTGCTTATTGGATGTCCTTGGTCAACCTTCACCAATCTGCTGCCACCGTCCACTAGCTGAACAGAAACCGCCATCCCATCATTTGCTGGAAGGATCCTAGTTTCCATATCAAGCGTTAAAAGGCCTATAGGTACCTGTGACTCGTTCTTCGAAATCTCAGTTTTAAGATCTTTCACACGGAGAGTTGGAGTTGAGCATGGCTTTGTTTCAGGCCAGATGTTAGATTTGGGCCTGTCATGGAATTCTGGGTTGGCAACTTCGGTCCAGGGTACCTTCACAACCCCCTGGTCAGAGGAAAGCACACACTGACATAGAGGATTTCCATGACGTCCCTCATTTATTTCCCTTAGCCAAGACTCCGTGAAAATGCATGGATAAGATGTCTCAGGAATGGGAGTCCCCTCAATTGCAGTACCCTCCAGCAACCTGGAACCGGCTTGCAGCACCAGATTCTCATGCCCCAAGAGGTCTTCCTGCACAAGAAGACTTTTGAGGACGATTCGGGCTGACTGTTCTCCAAAAGGTTCCACCTGCAAGTAGAAATCTCCAGGTCGGAGCAGTAAAGGGTTGATAGGGGCGAGTTGGATCACCACACGATCTCTCAGGCACAATGGCCAACCCTCACACCGGAACAGCACATCGGAGTATGCAGCCTAGTGGGAGAAAGAAAGGGCAAAGCTAGTTTGTTGACTTGCAGATTATTTTGGATTGACAGATTTTATGACCACAAGATTCCTAATGGCTTGGGTCTTGATGTCGTTTATTGGCTTGCACGCAAACATTCTTGAATCCCCTTCAGAAGAAGGTGCCTCGGAAGGCCTTTGTTCTTTCTGAAGATAAAACAAAACAATCTTGTGCTGAGTGGACAAGGATAAGTAGCTTGTGGGATCTGTGCCATAAAAATCCACATGGAAGAAATATCTGCACAGGAAACTGCTTTCATCTTGCCCAGTATGCTAACATACTTTACCCTTTAAGGCTTAGTTCACCCAAACATGAAAATACATTATTGACTCACTCTTATGTCATTCTCACTGTCCCTTTCCATACACTGAAAGCATACACTGAGCATGACCTGTCATGCATCATAAAAGTAGTCCTTGCAAACCTATATTCCAAGTCTACTGAACCTTTATGCTAAAGCTGAAGTGTGGAATATGTTTGTTTTGAGCACGAATAGCTGTTTGCTCAAACAATATAAGATGAAATGGTAGTTTTGCAATTGTGAAATTTCCTACTTCATCTTAAAGACATTATTCATTTGTTACGTCCGAGGACGTATTCAAGGTGTTTTATAATTGTGTACATGTGTTGGATGTGGTTTTGTTTGCTTTCCTTCTATCTCTCTCCCTCGTCACGAGACCGGTGTTCCAACCAGCTGTGTTCAATCTGGTGATGCCCGCGGTGATTGGTTGATGCCGGGAAGGAGCAGAAATATAAGAAGTGGTGGATCTGTGAAGAAAGAAGAGAGAGACTTCTTTCCGCCAGGGCTACTCTTCCTCCTGGTTGCCCAGATTCATTTGTTTGCTTTAAAAGAGATTAATTTGAATCGGTGTTTGTGTTGACTCTGGGTCAGGAGGTTGGATTGCCCTGGTTCTTTCTCCAAGGTTCTTTTTTTTTTCTTTAGATGTTTTTCTTTATCTTTTTTTGTTACTGGCTCCCCAGCCCTAGATGGGAAGTTATGTAACACATTAAAACACTTTCTCCTTGCTTCAGTTCTCAAATCTCATTGTTTAGCTTCAGATGACCTGGAATAGCATGCAAGCCTTTGGACTATGGACAACCTTCTGTCATACAGGTTAGGGATGACATGAGGGTGAGTGAATAATTTTTTTTTTCTTTCAGTTGTTAAATGAAAATAAGTCACTTGGTACGTAGGCTATTGGCCATTTTAGATGGTTGGCTTTTACTGTGGCACTGTCGAAATTTTAAATCCAATGGTCTTTTTTTGTTGTACTCACACAGGCTGCTTGTTGCACACTCTCTAGGATATGTTTGGCTGGGATAAGGAAGTTCAGCAGGCACTGCAGTGCATCTCCATGGTAACGTTCCTCAATGGTGCGAAAGAGTTGGCTGAGAACAGTAGGAGCGGTAGCCTCAAACGGAGGGAAAAGAGACGACAGGGCGCTCTGAATGGACCAGTCCAGAGAGGAAGGGTTCTGAGGTGGAGAAAGAGAGAGGTTTATTTGTGAGGTTTAATAACTGAATTCTTTGTATGAAAAATATCCAGGGTTACATAACATGATATATGATACTGCAGTTATTGTGCATTATCCCTAAATGCTTTGTTTACAGATGTAAAATGAGGTTGTTGTCAAACGCCTGTGTAAAACCTTTTCAGAATTTCAACCCCTCCTAAATCTCACTTGTTACAGGGCCAAGCTTGTGTCATGTCAAGGTTTCACCATTTTGGCCTAAATAAATCCACATTTTCCATTCTGTTGTCCACCATATGAAGGCAGTGTGTCTCTTTCTTGCCTAAGGCATTTTAATTGGAAGAGACGGGCAATGCTATCATATATGCATGGAAGAAATTACCTTGCAGCTAAAGAGCCACATTTGTTTACCTTGTTATTGTGTGTTGAACAAAGGTGATTTCGATAGAAAGGCGTCTTTACCGAAGCCGTATTGAGTGTCTCCTATTCATTTTACCTTTAGTGACCATCTCCTTCTGCTTAGAATGTCTCTGGGACTTGAAAGTGTGAGTTTGTCCTCACACCTCATTTGAGATGGTTTACCTCATGCAGAGGAGATTTGTGTCATTAGCATTCAAGTAAAACAAGGTAGAACAAAGAAAACGCATGCTCTGAACATGGCTGAGAATGTTTATGCAAGTGTTTATGTACCGAGCATGTGTGCGTAATATAGAAACACATTCATGCACATCTGACTACAGCTGAGTGTCTGTCTCATATTTGCTCTCCCAAATATTTATCATACATGTTTCTCAGCCAGTACTCTGTAACGAGGATGTTGGGTTCACTTTTAATGTGTCCGACTTGGAATAATGTACAAAGCAGATGTGGGAAGAGCACCGGGAATGCTGTCTGGAAAACTAGTGAAATCTGTTCTCTTCCAGTCTGGATGACCTTGGTTTAAACCCTAAACAGACAAAACCTGTTATAGAATGGATAACCATCTACTGCCAGCTAGAGGTTGAAACTATTAAACCGCATGTTTAAAACAATTTTTATGAAGCCTAGTGCAATGATTAACCATAGAAAGAAATGCATGCTTTAGCTGTGTTAAGATAGTTGTGTTTAGTCTATTAATCTCTTATTTCAACAGACTTAGTGGCTTCCTGGTTTAGAGGATTACAGGACCAGAGTGTGATCTCGTACAGGAAGTTTATGTCTGCTTAGAAAGAACAAACGTAAACAAAACCCTTCCTTTTTAGGGAAAAAATGTGTAATGTCTCAGCGATAAGAGTATTATATATCAGTGTACATTGACCAGGATTCGTATAGTTCTAATTTAAGTGTTTTTTTTTAATTTGTTTTCAGTTTAGTTTTTACTCTCATTGTTAGTTTTAGTGTTTTATTTTAAGTTACGACTTTCAGTTTTTTTTTTTTTTTTTTTTTTTTTTAGTTTTAGAATAGTGAAACATTATTTCAGTTCGGTTTTCATGTTAGTTTAAGTTAAATTGTTTTCATTTGGTTTATTATTGTTTTCATTAACAATGATTACGTTGACATGGCCTGACAGTATTTACAGTAAGTAGTGTTTGCTAAGACAACAACACTGTTATTATTGCACATACTTAAGCTTAGTGTTTTGAACAAATACCGAACCACAAGTCTTCAGCTTCTTGACGTTGTATCTCATTTTATGCTATTTGTGCTGCAGACATGAATGATTCCTCCAAGTCTGCAGTTTATTGAATCCCCAGTTTGTGCACACGTTGATGTTTATCTGCGCTAGACTTTCTCACGTTCTCACCGTTTCCTGCTTGATATTCCAAGTGATTTGTAGCATTTCGAATTGTAAGCTTATCCTCCGTGTGTATGTTTTATGATCCTGAACTAGAATTAGAACTGGACCTTCCACAATAGGTTTAATGATTAATAATTTTGAACGATTGTGGAAAGACACAATAGCCTTTTTGTGTAATCGTTAACCAAAGTAGTTTGTCTGGCCCATGCTTGTGTCTCATTCCGGGTGGTCCGTCCCGGGTGCATGTGGAACCTCTTCGGTCCTCTGGCTGACTTTCCCATCCTCAGCCTTTCTTCTTCTTCTTCAGTAAACACATCTGCATGGTGCGGATCACTATCTCGCCATGGCTCTGAGCCCGTCATTCTGTTTAACCCCCCGTTACTTCTCCTGTTACACGTCCACACCTCGGTTTTCCAAACACGTCCAAGTCAAACTTAATTTAACAAATCCTCAGAATCCCAAATGAAGGATATCTGGAGCCTGGCGCTGTTCCTGTAGTCTGATATTTGCATTCAGGAGACTGTCAATTGCATTTCTCAGTGTTTTTGTAAATATCACCCTTAGACGAAGCCCTTGGCTGAACTTTGGAAAGTTAATTTGAAGGCTCATTTGATATCTGGAGATGAGGGTCTTTTTTTCACACTTTAAAGCACTTAAAGAAATAATGTCTGTCTGTCTTCTCACCTGCAAGAGCCTTCATTTTAGCAGTACAGTTTTAATGTGTGACAAGTACTCGCAATTAAATCCACACATAAATATCTGTTGCAAAAACATCTTTTCATTTGGCAGTGCACAAGTCTCTCTATAATTACATGATCTCAACAGGTAATTGTACGCTTCAGTCTAATGTTTGAAACACACCAAAGCTCAACTATCATTAATTCTGAAGCTTTTTGCAGATGATTTCATAAATGCACAGTAAACAACCAGTTTTTGAACAGCCTTGTATTTAGTGGTGTTTGCTAAGGCGGGCATTACTAATAGGTTACTCACTTACTAAAGTCACAACAGTATCAGTGAAGATTTTTATAGCATGTCTTCCAATCAATTCTATTAATTTATTATTCATTATACAAAAATTGAAAAAAAAGTTTAAATATGTAATTTTAGGCAAAATGCAAAGGCTGTTTTTGATTGCAATTAGCCATTTATCATATTGATCAACGAAGATGTCAGATTTAGACATGGAATCCAACTGCAAATGCACAGACCAGTTTAGACTTTTAGAAATTCGATGTGGTTCTTGAAAATTGCAAGAAAAGTTGCTGAAAGTTAAGTTTTGCTGTGCTTCATTTACGTGGGCTTCCTCCATATACACCCACATATGCCCAGTTGCTTGTTGCAATGGCAGAGAAGTTGTATTTTGATTTAATGCTTTCACGACAGTTGTATAATTGTTTGTGCATGGGCACATCTAACACAGGTGTGAAAATAGGGCCTTTGGTGGAAATAACACGGTGGTGAAATTTCGCATAAAAAATGATGCCAGAATGCTATTAGTTGCCAAAGAGAGAGTGTTAAAAGTGTGTTTTAAGAAAGCTGTATATGGAAGTTCAAATCCAGAGGGCCAAAAGTGTCCACAGTTAAAGGGGTCATATGATGCGATTTAAAATGTTCCTTTCTCTTTGGAGTGTTACAAGGAGTCCAGCCCGGGGTCGTCACATGTGGTTGCCGCAGGCATCACAATATGGTAAGAGATGTAACATTTCCGTCACACGCGTGAGGAATTCGGCCAATCACAACGTACTGGATAGCTGGCCAATCAGAGCACACCTCGCTTTTTCAGACCGATGAGCTTTGTAAAAATCGACGCGTTTCAGAAAGGCGGGGCATAGAGGAGAAACAATAATGTACAGTATGTGGAAAATGTGTTTTTATAAAACACTTTTAAATAAACACATTTCATTACACCAAATACACAAAATAATGTTCTTTTTAGCAGCATCATATGACCCCTTTAAATAAACGCATGCAAAAACAAAATGCAATAGCAGAATAGTACCAGTAATGTGTCATACAGTGTTTGAAAACATTAGTCCTGTGCTCAAAGAATTAGTCTTGACTTGTGCATTTGGCATGGGACAAAAGAGGCACTCAGAGCCTTTAAAATCCTCAGGCTCTGTATTCAGTTCCGGGTTGCACAAAGAACACAAAAATGTTAAAAGTACAAGTGCTTGAAGTTCGAAAGTCCATGTGCACTCTTGAGATGAACACTAATCTAACCTGAACGGGATTCTTCATCATCTGTAAGCTTTGGAAAGTCTCTCATTTCAGCTGTCAGATTCCAGTAATTGTGATCTGTCTCTCCCAGCAGCTCTCCTCTGTCTTCCTCCTCTCCTCCCTCTTCAGGACAGTGTTGTCTTTGTCTCTGTGCCACTGTGCTTTAACTCCTTACAGAGTTTGGCACAATGGAGCTTTCTCACACCACTGGCCGCTCTCATCAGACAAACATCTACAACATCTGACAAGCTACTCCTCGATTAACTCACTCTGAATGCGGTTTTTAAAATAAAGGTTCTTCTTTGCAACAACTTTAGCTCTTTTTATAAAAAACATATTTTTCTTTATATAGCTGAAGTCTGTCATTTTCCTCTGCATGTTTAGCATGATTTTTATAGAACTTGAGGTTCTCATGTAATTTTTTTTTTTTTATTCGAATTGGAGCGTTTGCCGTTTTTCACAGTAACACTTTTGGTGCAGTGTATAATTTGTGCATGCGTTTTCTTGGTCATACATGCATTTCTTAGACCATAATGCATTTCTCATTGGATCAGAATAAATCGCCTTCATGCATTTCTTGCATTCTTTGCGTCTTTTGCAAACCATGTGCTACAGACAAACAAGAGTGCTGTTCTCTCCATGTAAGTGTTTTTTTTTGTGCATTTGAAGGGACAAATACTTCAAAATCACAGAGAAACCAATGTCTTCTCCCGTGTCATTATCTAACTACAATAAAAAACCTCTTTCACCAATGAAAGTACTTAATAAAAAGAGACATGAAGGAATCAGTAATCAAAATAAGTTTAAAAGACGCTAACAATGTCTGCAAGCAAAAACAAAAAAAACAGTCAGTCTACACTGAAAGCATCAAAGCTGCATGATATCACAGATTAGACTTTAGAAGTAAAACGAAAATAATATCCTAATTTATTTTAAAATGAAGTCCATTGGTAAAAAAGTACTTTGCATGCATTGTTTTACATTCAAATAATTCTGGACGTTAGAA